CACACACATTAAGGAAATACTAAGGACAAGAAATTCAAAAGAGAGCTGTCATATTTGTGTTGGATGTGTCTTTGCAGACTGTGATTTGGAGCATTCAATGAGCACCTGATATTGAAATTACCTCATAATTCTCACAGCTTAGTGGACTAGAAAACTAATTTTAAAAAATGCATAAACAAGGCAATGGCAGGTATGCAATACTACAGGGCAAAGGGCCTGCTGGGAAGCTGAGGGAGTCACAGCAATCCTTTCTCACCAGTCCTTGCAATCACACTAGAAAGATTCCAGACGTGTTGCTTGGAGTAGCAGGCATGAGTTTATTAGGACAGGAAAGGGGGTCCTTTTAGAGAGGACTAGGACAATGCATATCTACTGCCTTCCAGTTTTGTTCTGGTTTTTTAAACTGGGGATCGAACCCAGGACTTTGTGAATGAGAAGCAAATGCTTTGCCACTGAGCTACATCCCAGCACCTGCCTTCCAGTTTTATTGAGATCCCCAGGAAGGTTTCTAGAGTCCCACCCAGGTCCACCTCTTGACCACCCAGGAACTGCAGAACCCAATGGAAAAGAGAAGGGTGAGGCACTTGGAGTTGAAATTAAGGAAATTGTATCTCCTGTTTTTGTCACAATTTCCTACCTCCTTAATTGATGTATTACTCTTTGAATAGCTTTCAGCAAACTTTCTTTGTGAGGGTCTTGATGTTTTGGTTGCCACAGTGATTGGGGGTTGTGACATAGGGAGGTCCAGGTCACCTGGTAGGGTGTGACCTGATCTGGTAACAATAGCTTATCTTTAGGTGAGGTCATTGTGGCTATTAACATACCAAGCCCCCCCCCCCCCAGTTCAAGGACTGATAGTCTGCTAGCCTCCCTGTGGTTTTCAGTCACCCTTGTTTGCCCTCTCCCACGAATGGTTGACTAGCTACCTAACAAGTACTAAAAGATTACATATGGTGGAGAAGCAGCAAAATTTAACCAGACAGTGACAAATCAACTCCATTTTGAAGATTAGTATAGCCAATCCAAGTATGTTCACTTTGTACATATGCCACTGCACATATTCAGAGGCCTCTTAAGCTGACAAACCTAGGATTCCACCAAAGAACACCAGACAGAAGGCAGCAAAATCTAAACCTTAAACACATTACTCATAGCAAACCATCCCAGTTCTGACTCAGGATCCAAGTTCTTATTAATTCAACATCGATTCTAACAAGTGTGTTTGTTAGTATGTCTAATTGAACACAGGCATCATATGGGGAATTAGGGCCAAAAAGTAACAATTGTGAGAAAAGAAATCAGAATATGAAGGAGGATACAGGAAAGCATAAAACATGAAGATTAAAGTCCCAGCAAGCTGAGATCCTGTGAAGCATAGTCACACTTTAGCAGTCTGCCAAGCTTTACACCAATAGGCCCACGTCTGCAGGAGAGCCATAAGACAGCAAGGGCAGAATGAACTATATTCAGCTACTTTGTAAAGGCAAATAGGTGAAGTCTTAAAGAATTTCATCCAAAGTAGTTACCGTGTTTTATTTTATATTTTACACATAAATTGACTGCTCAATTATTTAGAAAACTCAATTGTTAGAAACAAGGGAGGCTAGATAAGGTTTTACTATGACTAATCTGATAACAGTGAATTATCTCTCTGACCTTTATTCATACACAATTGTCGCTGACCTAATTTACACCAGGAGGAAATATGACGTTTTCCCTAACACATTTGTTTTGATCTGATTCATACTACTTGCCATGGCTCCATTGACCAACGGTACAAGCATGCAATCATTATTACTAAACACAACAGCCAGAAAAGCATGCTTGAAATCCATCCAACATTTCCTTCCTAACCAAGCGAATGAGAAAGTAGAACAAAATCAGAACTGTTTATAGACTGGTCTTGGGATGAGTGCATCCCTTTAAACCAAGCCAGAACAAATATCTTGGAATAAGACAACAAAATTACTTCAGATTAATCAAAGTTCTATATTTTAAAAAACTTACCTTGGTTCAATTTATCAAATGTTTGAAAGATGATACAAAAGGTAAAATCAATACATTCTTTTTTTTTTTTTAAGAGAGAGTGAGAGAGGAGAGAAAGGAGAGAGAGAGAGAGAGACAATTTTTAATATTTAATTTTTAGTTGGCAGACACAACATCTTTGTTGGTATGTGGTGCTGAGGATCGAACCCGGGCCGCACGCATGCCAGGCGAGCGCGTTACCACTTCAGCCACATCCCCAGCCCCAAATCAATACATTCTTAACTTTTGGTTTAAAAAACTATTTCATCAATTATAGAACTCAGGGCAGGGATATGACTAAGTGGTATGGTATATGCTTTACCATACACAAGTACCTGAGGTTTCTAGCAACTCACTACTTCAGTGTCTTTATTTTCCCTTAAATTCACTTCTTCATTCAATAATTTCTAAGCACCTACCTCTACCTACGTCTCCTTAGTATTGAGTTGTAACTCAGGGATCCAACAGGGAATACAATAATATAGCCTATACCTAATAAACTAAGTAAATCTAGGCAATAAAGCTGAATTAAATGTCATCTAGTTTCTCAAGTGTTTCTTTGAGAGAGTTATAGACAAGGAATATAAAAAAATGAGTCTAGAATTATGATTTCAGGTGACAAATGACTGTTACATGTGAATATGCTACATATTTGACAAATACACTTCAATTAATCCAGTATATTTACCTAGTTTCTTATTTTTCTGTTATGATTCATAATTCCACAGGCTGGCTAATTTACAATGAACAAAGATTCAGCTCACTGGGAAGTCCAGTAGCTGGTGTCAGCATAACATGGTGGAGGGCATCACATGGTTAGCCCCAAAGAGCTTGCTTTTATGATAAAGCCATTCCTTGGATAATTCGTTAATCCATGAAGACCCAATTATGACCCAAAGTTTCCACCTCCAAATACCATTAGGGTGAAACTTTGGGGATTAAGTTTCCAACACACAAATTCTGGGGGACATCCAAACCACACCACCTACAAACCAAATTATCAGCTGTTCAAAGACCCAAGGTTTATTTTTCTTCTCTATTACCTTTCTTTCCTATGAGCTCCCTGAGTATCACAATAAAATTTTGAGTTTAGCTCTCTATTCCTTTAGGGAAAAAGAACAAAACACATAAAGCAAAACAGTGAGACTATCTGAAGATCCTGGTTTTGTTTTATAATACAAATACTATGAAACAAACATTTCAACATTAAGACTATTTACCCAAACTGAGGCTAACCAATTCTGATATTCATGGGGACCCTAAAGCATTAAAGGCATTTTTTTCTCCTCTATAAAATGTGGCTTCTGTAAAAAGCTTTGTACCTAATGGAAATTCTGCTATATTAAAGTATGTAAACTGTAAGTTTAGAAAAACGTGACTTAAGTTTCACATGCCCATGTCTTTGTGACACTTATCAATAGTGGTTTAATATTCAATTAAATATACTAAAATGAGTCTTACCTTAGCTTAAACATTTGAATGGAAAACAATTTGGATATTAGATTTTTGCCAAAATATTGAAGTACTATGGCTTTTAATTTTTAAATTAAATAGTAATCAAATAATTATACTATTATTTGCATCATAGTTTTAAATATAAGTACCTCTTCAATGAAATTCTGAAATTAATAGTATGATTTTTCTTACTAATACCTAAAAACACCAGTAGGGTTTACTTAATAGGTTTTATTCTCCTGTACATTTTTTAAAAATATTTTCTTAGTTGTCAATAGACTATATATGGTGCTGAGAATCTAACCCAGTGCCTCACAAATGCTAGGAAAGCACTCTACCACTGAACACAACCTCAGCCCATCCTATATCATATTTTATGGGGAAGTAAACTTAAAATTTTATCTTAATCACAACATCACCCACCTCCTTTATAGAGTTTTGAGTCTTGTGGCTGTTCTTTAAGAGTAACTGAAGGAATGGATCCATTTAATAATTCTGTTTGCTTAAAGTAAAAAAGAGTTAACCACATTTCTACTTCTTGAATTGTTTTAAGTCTTTGGTGATTCAAGCCTACTACTGTTAACATAAAGAATACATTTCCTCTTCAAAAAACAAAACAATGACAATCTATAGAAAATGACTGGGAAAGACATTAGTTAACATTTAAGCTTTTGACTTTTTTTTTTTAATTTTCTTTTCTTGATAGCCATCTACATCCTTCCAAACATGTGGTTAAACAATGAATTCAAACTCAGTTGTACCTATAACCATGTTGTTGATCAACTGGAAGCAAAAAAAAAAAAAAAAAAAAAATTCAAACTTCTTTTATTTTGCAAGACACATCCTAACAAAATACCTGAGACTGTACAATTTATAAACAAAAGATATTTGTTAGTTCCCCATCTGGTGAAGGACATCTAAGGATCCTCATATGCCAGAGAGCAAAAAGCCAAAAGCATCTAAGCCCTTTTAAAGATACTAATTTATTCATGAGGGTAAAATTAAGTTTCAACACATGAATGTGGAGGGAACACAAACTGTAACTTGCACTTTTCAACTAAATCTGGGAACACATCTTAACATAGATCCCCATTATCTCAAAGAGGCCAGACTAGAAAAAAATTAGGGCAATGCAGTGGTTACTCTTTAAAAACAAACAAACAAAGTTAAAATCTATGCTGAAAGTGAGTGAAACACAAAATTTGACTAAATAACAAACTAGACATTCTACTGGTGAACACAGAACTTGCACTTCCCTGTTCATTAGCCAATAGGCCCAGCTATAATTTTAGATAAAAATTATAATTAGAAATAATGAGAGCAATTTCTTGAGTTACTCCACCTTTAAATTATATTTCATTGAGACTTACCCTTTGAAATTACTAATGATTAACCTATCCTGTTCATGTGAGAATTTAGGAAATCTCTCATACTTCTGTGGCATTTTTACACATGAAAAAAATTATGCATTTAAGAAAGATTCCCACAGAAATCAATTCAAAAACCACTCTACCCAAAAAGACACTGTAAAAGTATGCATTTTATTCATTCATTCCATCAGCTGAGAATTGCTCTAATGTACAAATACAGTATTGTACAAAAAAATCACAAAATGTTACAAAATAAAAAAGTACAAACTGCATTACTTAATAAATATGACTAAAAGTAGTTAAAGTTGCAATGAGATAGATTTTAAGTTGGAAACACTGTTTGACCCAGCAAACCTTATAAGCTCTGTTTACAAACATTTTTACATAATACACAGCAATCCTACTTAGGCTTTTGGAAGAACATAAAAGGAACACAGTATTAAGAGTATTCTCCTGCTATAAAATAACTGCCAAGGTTGGGTCCAGACATTTTGCTATTAGTTTTTTTCTTAGAAGAATCCAAGTAGATATAAAAGAAAGTATATAAAGCAGGAGGCCTAAGTTGTCCCAAAATTTTATACCATGTTAAATTCTTTTGTAACAAAATGACACATGTAAATAAAAACAATGGAGAGCACCAGACAATCTACTCTAAACATCAACAAGAGTACAAAATCATCCTTCTGCCATCAGCAAATATCAGACTTTCATTCAAGTAAGACCTGGTACTATCCCTTAAAGGAAAAAAAAAAAAAATCTCCCCACAGCCATCCCTTAAGCATTTTTCTTTATAAAGACGGATCATTTCTAAAAAAATAACAATTAAAAAAAATCTATTTCATCAAAATGGAATGGGCCAATCATGTGGTAACATGAATGCATCAATATCAATTTGAAATAATTATCTAAGAATTGTGAAATTCAAATTTCAACAACATAAAATAACTACTAAATCACAAACTCACTTCAAAGTAATACATTTTATATAAAGCATTTCTCTGGATTTATGCTTGAAAGCTGTTTGACAAAATGGAACACATCATAGATGAAGGTAACACCATTTTTAAAAATGTTGTGCAAAAATACGTTTTTATAGAAAATAGACTACCAGGAATGAACAAATTTACACTGTGAGAAATTAACTTGCAAATTAAGTAGTGCTCACTTTATACAGCAAATTATAAATAGCAGTTCACCCAAAGCTATCATGAAACAAATCATTTAGGTGCCCAGCAACCTTCAGCTCTGAGAAAACATTCAAAATATGATTAAGGCTTTACACCTACAGTAAATCTACTAGGAAGTTTAAAAGTGCTGTTACCCTGATTTAGAGTTCATGTGATTTTCCAAACACAAGTTATATATACGCAATTTCCCCAGGGTGTAAGGTTTTCAGACATTTCAAGAGCATGCATTTTGTTCAATATACATCTTGGATAGGGATATGGCCATGGATTTGGCAAGTTCTTCATCGCGTTTTCTTTGCACTTGAGTTTGTTTGCACCAATTGTCATACTCTGGGTTAGGATAGGAGTGATCAAAAACTGCATCATAGTGTCCATTGCTGAGCCAGCTGAGCCAAATACTAGGCCTTAGGGAATCCTCTGGGCCCAAATAGTGAATCATGGTTGACACTGTGGGGCTCTCCAACCTCCCTCCAGTAGTTAAGTGGATATTCACATTTAGCATCTGCCCCATAGCCAGCAATTCGGGGTACCCGGCCCATGCCCCATCCTGAGCAGCAGCGATGATAAACTCCCCGACGTCGCCCTCAATCAGAGGGCTAAAGTGCTCGAGATGATCGGCAATGTAGTGCACCGTCTGCTCCCTCAGCTCCCGGTGTAGGCTCTGATCCCCGTACACGGTCTTGCTAACAGCTCGGTAGAGGCAGTTCCCGTCGGGAATGATATGGAATCGGTACTTGTTCCTCTGTCGCAGGTACTTGTCCTGCTTCTCTACCTCGGCCAGATATAGGGCTAGCTTCTCATCTCTGGGATCCGACCTGGAGACCACCACCGTCTCGGCTCCGCTACTCTGGGTCACCTCGCTGCTCCGTGCAGGGGGAGCTTCGGTCTCCAGGTCCAGCCGTCGCGCCGCGTCGGCCCCGGGAGAGTCGCTGCGGTCGCCACCTCTCTCCCACCCCCGGGGAATCCTCTCCGCTCGGTGTTCCTCGCCCCACGGGCTGGGACTGGGCTCCGGGCTCCCCGAGGGCGGCGCAGAACCTCGGTGTTTAGCGGCGGCCAGGGCCTGACGGTGCTCGCTCAGTCGGAAGTTTCTATCAGGTCCCTCCCGGGCTGCGT